TGACCTGATTCCCTGCCACCGTTATCAGCACTGTCATCCACAGTCTCACAGTCAGGACTTGTGCAAAGTTGCTTTGGGAGTATTTTCCCGGGAGTAGGGTTGTTGGGTCACAGGATATATGCATACTTAATTTGACAGCAAACTGCTGTCCAGGATGGCTTGACCAGTTTATGCCCCTGCCAGCAGTGCATGCGAATTCTTTATTCGCCACCCTGTTGCTATGTAGCATTGTCCTACTTTCTGATTTTTGCCAAACTGAGAGGCATAAAGTGGCATCTTATTATTTTAAATTGCATTTCCCTGATTTCTAATCATCTCTTTATAGATCTGGTAAACATTTGGGTTTAGCAATTTAAGCCCTTCATGCAGTTTTCTACAGGGCTCCCTGCCTCTTTCTTACCAATTTGCAAAAGTTCCTTGTGTAATCTCTAGTTCACAAGTTTTAATGTGCATATGAATCACCTGGAGATCTTGTTAAGATGCAGATTATGATTCAGTACAGGTGGGAGGGGGCTCAAGATTGTGCATTTCTAATAAGCTCCCAGATCATGCAGAAGCCTATGGTCCTTGAACCACCCTGTGAGTAGCAAGGTTCTAGATGTTAGTTTGAGACTTTGCAAAGGTCTGTCCTTCCAAATTTGTCATTTCTCTATCACCTTTGTCTCGATTTAATATAATCAAGCAAATTGCCTTATGGGTTAGTGCTATTTGGGACATGTTTAAAAAGTCCTTTGTCATGTCTGGGCCACAGTGATCTTTTCTCTTTTTCTCTACTAACTTTTTTTTTTTAAAGATTTATTTATTTGAGAGAGAGAGTGTGTGTGAGCAGGGGGAGGGCAGAAGGAGAGGGAGAGAGAAAATCTCAAGCAGACTCTCTCAACTGAGCATGGACCCTGATGCAGGGCTCGATTCCAGGACCCGGATCATGACTTGAACTGAAGTCCAGAGTCGGCTGCTTAACTGACTGAGCCATCCAGGTGCCCCTCTCTACTAACTTTATACTTTTATTTCACACTTAAGGATTTAATCCATCTTAAGTCACCTCTGTATTGGGTATAAATCAGGTAACCAATTTTTATTTTTCCCCTTGTAGTGAGCTAGTTTTCCGAGACCAAATAGTTCATTGTTTCTCCATTGATTTGTGGTGCTACCTTCATCTTATTTCAAGTTCCCAGATACAATCTGCTTTCTCTTCTATTCCTTTGGTTCAGATTTCTGTTCCTATAATAGTATCATACTGTTTTTATCTTTATAGCTTTGAAGTATGTTTTAATATCTGGAAGTGTCACTCTTCTACCTTAGTTTTTATTTTTTATTTTATTTTATTTTATTTTTTTGTGTGTTTATTTTTTATTGTTATGTTAATCACCATACATTACATCATTAGTTTTTGATGTAGTGTTCCATGATTCGTTGTTTGTGCATAACACCCAGTGCTCCAGGCAGAACGTGCCCTCTTTAATACCCATCACCAGGCTAACCCATCCCCCCACCCCCCCACCTTAGTTTTTAAAATTTGACTTAGCTCTTTGTGAATCTTTATCCTTTTAGGTAAATTATTTGGTTTTTTTTTTAAGATTTTATTTATTTGAGAGAGAGAGAGAGATAGCGAGAGAGAGAACATGAGTGGGATGCAGGGATCGATCCCAGGACCCTGGGATCATGACCTGGGCCGAAGGCAGATGCTTAACCGACAGAACCACCCAGGCACTTTTAGTAAATTTTGGAATAGATTTGTTTAGTCCCTAAAAAATATCTGGCTGAAATTTGGAATGGAATTGCATTGACTTTTTAGATTAATTTGGGGAAGTATTGCTATTGATATTTTTACAATGTTAAGTTGTCTTATTTGTGAATAGGGTTATATTGCCGTTTATTCAGCTCTTTCACGTTTTTAAATAGATTTTAAAGTTTTTCTCCATAAAGTCTTGGGGATCATTCTTAGTTATGTTAATTATAAGTACTTTACTGTTTCTGTTGCCTTTGAAAGCACTATTTTATTTCTGTTATATTTCCTGGTGGATTATTTTGATACAGAGAGATGTCAGTAATTTTTGTTAGCTGATCTCGTTCCTCACAATCTTGCAGACCTTTCTTATTTGCTTGTCCGTTGCTTTGGTTAGTTTTTCTATGTAGATTATTATATGCAAATAATGACACTTCTGTTTTCTTCCATTCTTTGCTTTTTTCAATTTTAATTTTTTGCATTTATTATTTATTTTATTAAATATCAGGAGACTTTGCTTTTTCAGCAGTTTTAGGTTTACAGAAAAATTCAACAGAAAGTATAGAGCATTCTCCTACCTATATTCCTTCTCCCACCTCCAGTTTCCACTAGTTAAATATCTTTTTTTTTTAAGATTTTATTTATTTATTTGAGAGAGAAAGGGAGAAGGAGAGTACAGAGGGAGAGGGAGAGGGAGAAGAGGCTCGTCGCGGAGCAGGGAGCCTGATGCGGGACTTGATCCCGGGACCCTGGGATCATGACCTGAGCTGAAGGCAGATGCTTAACTGACTGAGCCACCCAAGAGTCCCTCCACTGGTGTTAACATCTTGCTTTGGTGTGGTACATATGCTACAATTGATAAACCAATATTGATACATTATTATTAACTGAAGTCCATAGTTTACATTAGGGCTCACTCTTTGTGCTGTACAGTTCTATAAGTTTTGCCAAGACAGATGTATAATGTCATGTGTCCATCATTATAGTGTCATACAGAATAGCTTTATTGCTCTAAAGTATTCCCTGGGCTCCATGTATTCACCCCTGCTCCCTACCCCAACCCCTGACAGCCACTGATCTTCTTACTGTCTCTATAGTTGTGACTTTTCCAGAATGTCATATAGTTGGAATCATATAGTATGGACCCTTTTCTGACTGGCTTTTTTACTTAACAGTCTGCACTTAAGATTGTCCCATGTCTTTTCGTGGCTTGATAGCTCATTTCTTCTTATCACGGAATAATATTCCATTGCCCGGAGGTACCACAGTTTGTTTACTCATTCACCTACTGAAGGACATCTCTGTTGCTTCCGAGTCTTGACAATTGTGAATAAAGGCGCTATAAACATTTGTGTGGACCTAAGTTTTCAGTGTATTACCTAGGAATGTAATTGCTGCATCACATGGTAAGATTATGTTTAGCCTTGTGGGAAACTACCAAATTGTCCTCTGAAGTGGTTGTACCGTTTTGTATTCCCACCAGCAATGAATAAAAAGTTCCTGTTGCTCTGTATCCTTGCCAGCATCCACTGTTGTCCATGTTCTGAATTTTAGCTATTCTGAGAGGTGTGTGGTGGTATCTTGTTTTTGTGTGCATTGCTTTAATGACGTATGATGTTGAACATCTTTTCGTGTGCTTTTTTGCCATCTGTCTGTCTTTATGGATGAGGTGTCTGTTCAGATTTTTTGCTGCTTTTTTAATTGGGTTGTTTGTTTTCTTATTGTTGAGTTTTTTTTTTAAATAAAGATTTTATTTTTAAGTCATCTCCACACCCAACATGGGGCTTGAACTTACAACCCCGAGATCAAGAGTTGCACACTCCACTGACTGAGCTAGTCAGGCACCTGATCTTATTGTTGAGTTTTTTTTTGTTTTGTTTTGTTTTTTAAGATTTTATTTATTTGACAGAGAGAGCACAAGTAGCCAGAGCAACAGGCAGAGGGAGAGGGAGAAGCAGGCTCTCCACTGAGCGTGGAGCCCGACATGGGGCTCGATCCCAGGACCCCGGGATCATGACCTGAGCTGAAGGCGGACGCTTAACTGGCTGAGCCATCCAGGTGCCCCTTATTGTTGAATTTTAAGAATTCCTTATATATTTTAGATACAAGTTCTTTTTTGTTTTAAATTTTATTTATTTATTTGACAGAGAGAGACACAGTGAGAGAGCAGGGGGAGAGGGAGAGGGAGAAGCAGGCTCCCTGCGGAGCAGGGAGCCCGATGAGGGACTTGATCCCAGGACCCTGAGACTGTGACCTGAGCCGAAGGCAGACGCTTAACGACTGAGCCACCCACATGCCCCTAGATACAAGTTCTTTATGAGACATGCATCGTTACAAAGATTTTTTTCCCAGGCTGTGGCTTGTCTTTTCATTCTCCTGAGTGTTTTTTGCAGAGCAGAGGTTTATAATTTTATGATGTCCGACTTACCAGTTTTTTCTTTTATGGATCATGCTTTGGTGCTCACTGCCAGATCCAAGGTGATGTGGATTTTTTTTTCCTGTTTTCTTCTGAAAGTTTTATAGTTTTGCCTTTTACTTATAGGTATAAGATTGATTTTGAGTTAACTTTTGTGAAAGATACAGGGACAATGTGTTGATTCATTTCTTTTGCATGTGGATGTCCAGTAGTTCTAGCACCATTTCTTGAAAAGACTGTCCTTTCTCCATTGAATTCCCTTTGCTCCTTTGTTAAGGATCAGCTGCCTCTACTTGTGTGGGTCTATTTTTGGTCTCTAATCTGTTCCATTGATCTGTTTATCTATTCTTTTGCTGGTGTCACACTGTCTTGATTACTGTGGCTGCTTCTTAATTTATGTTTTATAACCTTGTACTTCTAAAAAAGTAGGATTTGAGATAGATTGCAATTTTGGTTATGCTGGAAACAGGACAATTTTAATAAAAAGATAAAAATTGTAAATTATTAAACTATTGATTCTTCTGGCAGTGGCTATATCCCTTCAAAAACTAGAACACAGAGGAATATTATGATAGAGTATGGACAGGCCTGAGGACTTCTTCCCTGCTGTCATTTATCTGACAACATTGAAAACTATACCTTAGACAGAAAAATTCCAAGGTTGGATTATTCTTAAATATTATTTTTTTTCCTTTGAGTTTGTGGTGATTAATTATTTAGTTAGTATGGCATAGTTAGCTGCGTATAGTTCATTGGAGACACATCTTAATATTTTAGCTATTTTAAGACTCCAACTACCAACAACTGTTGAAATACACAAGTGTGACCACATTTTTTTTTTTTTTGGAATTTTTTTAGGTCAATGATGCCTTCCTTCATGTGATACAGCGCAAATCCACGGGCAAGGTGCTTATCTCCCTTAAATAAACCCTCACCTCAGCAGCCAACTCAGCTTGTCCAAATCCAAACTCATCGTCTTTCCAAAAAACCTCATTTTCCTCCTGTGTTTCTAAAGGTGTTACCACTTTCCTTATTAATCCAGGTTCAAAGTCTTTTAAAAGTCACCTTTGATTCTGTTTTCTTACTCCTCATAATTAGTGTGACATATTCTTTATTGCCCTAACTTGGATGTCTTTGAGAGTGAACGGATGCTGTTAGTAGTTGAACCAGGAAGGCAGGTGTCCCAGGCAAAGCGGGGTGTATGGTCATCCTGTTCATAATGCATTAGTGCCCAGGTTCTGTCATCCCCACCTCTAAGATATCTCTGACCTCCATACCCTCTTTTCCGTTCTGCCTAATTATGTCTCATCTGCTAATTCCAATACTTTCCTAACTGGCTTTCCCACCTTTAAACTACCCCCACCCCTCCATCCTTGTGATGCACTGTTCCCATGGTGACCTTCCCAAAGCACAGCTGTAACTGTGTTTGACTCAAAACCCACAATGGCTGCCCATTGTCTAGTTGGTGGAGTTCAGACTCTTCGAGCTAGCATTTCTTTATGTCCTTGATTTTGCCCCGCTCTGCTTTGCAACCTTATGTTACATGCCGGAGCCCCTCTGTATGCACTTACATTTTCGGCCAACCCTCCTCTGCTCTGCGCAAACAGTTTCCTCTACTCCCTTATCTCTGTCAAACATAAGCCCTCCTAACCTCCAAGACTGACCTCTGCCGTGAGCCTGTGGCCTGAGGAGGGCGGTCATTTCTTCCCTTCCACCTTCCTATAGCTTTCCCCCCAGGATTTGTCACATTCTGCCTTGCACCAAAGGGAGCAGCTGGTCCCTAGAATGAACACAAGATTCTGCATCTACGATGTGGGTTTGAATCCCAGTCTCACCTCACTTTGGAGGTGGTTACTGAAGGTCCTTGAGACTTCCTTTTCTCCTGTAAGGTGGATATTACAATATCTTCCTCTAATGTTGCCGTGAGCAATACGTGCAGTGATTGGGCAAAGTACCTGGTGCATGGTAAGCTATTAGCAAATGCTAGTCACTTTTTTTCCTCCTCTCCCAGTATAGCGTAAGTTCCTCGAGAGCAGGTGCCATGTCTGATTCACCTTTGTACCTCCCACAATACCTAGCACAGTGAGTTACCCTTATTAAATACTCAACAAATGGAATTGATTTTAAATTATCTGCAAGCCTAAATTGTGGGAGTAAGTTAAGAATATGTTACCTTGGTAACCACCCAGATGTCCATCAACAGATGAATAGGTATACAGAATGTGGTATATCCAAACAATGGAATATTATCTGGTCTTAAAAAGGAAGGACGTTCCGACACGTGCAACAACATGGGTGAACCCTGAAGACACTATGCAAAGTGACATAAGCCAATCACAAAAAGACAAAGATGATATGATTCCACTTACAAGAGCTACTGAGAGGGGTCAAATTCATAGAGGTAGAAAGTAGAATGGTGGTTGCCAGGGACTGGGGGAGGACACAGTGGGGAGTTATTGTTTAGTGAGAACAGAGTTTTAGTTTGGGAAGATGAAAAAGTTTTTTTTTTTTTTAAAGATTATTTATTTATTTGACAGAGAGACAGCGAGAAGGGGAATACAAGCAGGGGGAGTGGGAGAGGGAGAAGCAGGCTTCCCGTGGAGCAGGGAGCCGGATGCGGGGCTCTCTCCCAGGACCCTGGGATCGTGACCTGAGCCGAAGGCAGACACTTAATGACTGAGCCACCAGGCGCCCCAATGAAAAAGTTTTTGAGGTGGATGGTGATGATGGTTGCATGACAATGCGAATGTACTTAATGTCCCTGAACTGTCCATTTAAAAATGGTTAAAATGGTCATAAAAAAAGATTTTATTTATTTGAGAGAGAGAGAGAGAGAGAGTACAAGCTAGGGAGAGAGGCAGGGGGAGAGGATGAAGCAGGCTCTCTGCTGAGCAGGGAGCCCGATGCGGGGCTCGATCCCAGGACCCCAGGATCATGGTCTGAGCCGAAGGCACATGCTTAACCAACTGAGCCACCCAGGTGCCCCTAAAGTGGTCATTTTTTATGTTACATATATTTTACCACAATAAAAAATGTTAAAAAAAAGCACAACATATTACCCTCACATCTAAGTGAATCCATTAGGAGAAGAGAACAGAGAGTGTGAGCAGAGTGCCCAGTGCAGGTTGAAATAAGCTCCAGTCTCCGCCTACAGTCTCCGGTCTGCGGGGCAAAGCCTTCTATATTTCTTAGTGCTGAGCTCTGTTCTCTACTCCTCCTGCTCCAGGAGTGATAATCCCCCGAAAGGAGAGTGGTGGGCGGTAAGAAAACAGACAGCTGACTCCACAGGGATTGGCGGTACCTTATTCTTGACGAAGTCGTCTAACAATAAATGTGGTAAGAGGCTTTGTTTTCTGCTAAGTACCTCAGGCCATTTGGAAACACCAATCTTCTCAGGATCTCCTCACCAAAAAAGCTTTTGGAAAAATTGAATTGTAAAATAGGAAGTGAACATTTGGGGAAAGAATTTGAAACCGAGAAAGTAGCAGAAGGAGGGGGAGGGGAAACCACCCTTGTGACTGTTGTGGGCCCACGTGGTGCTTCCGTGAGGCTCAGAGCCCACGCTGCGCCTCTTCCACGCCTTCTGGGAGCTGCCTGCCCTGAGGTTCCATTTAATGGTCTGCCTCTCCTTACCTGCTCCCCCCCCCCCCCCAAATTACTTCTTAAAATGAGCTATTGTGTATTTAAATGAAAGTTGGTTTTCAAAAATATCAAGACACCAACTCTGAGGCTATTTTAAGAATTTCCTGACACCCTGTGGGATAACTGAAGACAAGCTGGGCAGATCCCAGGAGAGATTGGGAAAGGTGCACAAGCCCAGCTGGGAGCCCCCTTTCCCTCTGTTCAGAGCTGATCAGTAGGTGTACTAGCCATAAAGATTTATTGTCCTCAGCTCACTAATGTCAAAATGACTTAGATTGAAAGAGGCAGTCATTAAGGAGAGTGAATTTCTCCGGGTTTAACGAGTACTGATCAGAACCCCTAATGACCCGCTCTCTGCTTGCCATGTCCCTGCTTCATTGGCATGATTTGGAAACATTTGACTCATATTTTAGTCACTGTTTGGTTGTTCCACCATCTGAGCCATTAGTCTGAAAAAAGAATCAGTGCAGCTCCAAGTGACAGCCATTTATTCCACGTTCACAGACTTTTCCCAGCTCTTCCTTGCAGGCTGGCTGCTGGAGAAATCACCCCCACACACCTACCTCTTCCTTTTTCCTGACCGTGGGCCTGTCCACCTGCACACACTTCTCTCAGCAGCCCGAGGGATGTTTCGTGCTGGTAGCTGTGGAGTCATCCTGTCTCCACATCACCAGCGTATCTGGCCCCGCTCCTTCTACAGTCTGTGGCTTCAGGAAGCTGTCTTGTCCCTTGGAGCTCTGGTGAAGACCACAAAAGATTTGTTACTTAGCAGGCGAAGAGAAATAAAGGTGTCCTCGCATAACTACTTGTATTCAACAACAACAACAACAAAACTCAGAAAAATGTACGCTGTTCTTTCACTTACCTTCTTTCTCAGATTGTTCAAGTGAATCCAAGAGCAGTGATTTTTCAAAATATTTATTGTTTATAGAAGTCACGTGAAGGGAAGACCCAGATGAAGGAAACAAATGCTGGCCTGCCTCATTATTCTCTTCCTTTGGCCTCTCTGTCACAGCCTATGCTCCACTGAAGCTCTGAGCTGCAAGTGTGCTGGCTTCTGGAACTTGCTATTGTTGAGGAACCCCATACAAAGTGATAGTTGTTTTTATTTTTTGCTGTATTTAGAAAGCATTTCCTAAACTTCAGTGAATCGCCTCATTATTTTTAAAAATGGATTTTGTTAAAATCATTACAACAATACCACGTGGCCATTGAAAAAAGTCAAAGCAGCAAGCAGTTTGTGAGTAGAAATTGTTAGCCTATTTTTCTCTAACCTATCTTATTCCCATTCTCCGCGGAAAGCGTGGAGGCATTTTGGTGCTGGTCTTGCAGGCCCTTTAAACACACACATATGTATGCATACACAGAGGGTTTTTGTTTTCAGATTTGTTTATATATTTGAGAGAGAGAGAGAGAGTGCATGCACTAGGTGGGGCAGGGCAGAGGGAGAAGGAGAGAGAATCCCAAGCAGTCTCTGTGCTGAGCATGGAGCCTGACATGGGGCTCAGTCTCATGACCCTGAGAGCATGACCCGAGCCGAAAACAAGAGTCGGTTGCTTAATCAACTGCACCACTCAGGCACCTCTAGAGTTTTGTTTTGTTTTGTTTTTTAAAGACATACATAGGTTTTAAAAATAACTGATCATAGTACGCATACTATTGTGTAATGTACAGCTTTTAATCAATAATATGTCATGAACACCATTCCATATTAGTAAATATAGATGTCTCATTTTTTAACAGCTGCTTATTTCTGTTCCATAATGAGGATGTGTATCATATGCAACCACTTCCTTGTTAGTGGGCTTATTCATTTATTCACCTTGATGTAAGGCTGTGCCTCTGTGTGCCAAGCTCAGAGCAACACAGGAAATATATGACGGTGAGCAGAAGCTTACAAATCTAGTAGGGGAGATGGACATTAATTAAAATCACAAAACCATGTCAAATTAGTGCCCTGCAAAATATAATGGGGGAACGTAACTCAGGGAGGTCAAGAGAGGTTTCCCTGAGGAAAGACCCTTCAAACTCTGTCTGAAGATGGAGGCTTCTGGAACATTTAATTCTAGGAATTTAAGGAGGCAGGGAAGAAAGGGAGGAATGTTCTAGGGCCCTTTGGCAAATGAAAGCATGTGAGGGAGACAGGCTAAAAGAAGGGCAGTGGGGCTGGAGTGGGAGCAATGGAAACAGGTGTCGTGAGATGAGGCTGCAGGCAGGCTGATGAGGCTGAGGATGCGGAAAGAAATGGACAGGCTAGAGAGCACTGCAGGAGGCAAAAGTGGAAGGACTTGGTGTTAGATTGGATACGAGCAGCGTTGGGGAGAGGGAACGAAATGTCAAGATGATTCCTAGCTTCCCGGGGAGGTATTTGAGAGGAGGAGCATCAGAAGAGAATTGGGTCTTGGCAGTGGCAGGGGATATGATGGGGTCAGAGGATGAGTCTTTGTACATACTGAGACATCCAGATGTTAACTGTAGTTTTGTGTACTTGTCCAGTGCTCGGAAGAGAGGTGTGGCCTAGAGATAACAAATTTGGGTGTCATGTGCATGGAGGGTACCATCAGTGCCTGTGATAAGATTGTAGAGACAGCACGGAGAGAGGAGGGACAAGGGTCTAGACCAACCGTAAACATCCTTCCTCTCAAGCGGGCTAGAGAGTGTTTTGTGACTGCGCTGTGGACCACCGAAAGGGCCCTGGAGAGGGCTAGTTTGGTGCTTTAACAGAAATCACAAGAGGTTATCAGGAAGGCTGTATTGTATTGCACAGTGGATAAAGCACGATTCTCTCAGTGGATGATCAGCAACTCAGGCTGTACTTCTAGCTGTTTGACCTTGGGCTAGACTCATCTTTCCAATTTTCTCATGTAAAAAATGAAGATCATAATGCGTTTTTTTCTACCTTGCATGGTTCATGTGATGGTCAACTGAGATCCTGTATGTGAAAGCACTTTGTAAATTGTCATTTTCATGATAGATTATGAGGTTGTCTAGTACCAGCGTGTTGAAATTCAATTCAGAGTTGAAGCAGAACGTATCTTTTTTCAGCATATGTTGGGCTGACATGGAGCAAAGGAATGGTTTGATTTTTAAAAGTGTCTCTCAAATATTTCTACACTTTATTTTAGCTGAAGTCATTGTACTCTTTTATACAGAGTAATGGACAAAGTGACGGGCACCCGATGATCTGATGTACCTCAAAGACATACAGAACCTGACAAGGTCTAGGGAAGGATGCCTAAATTGATCCAGAGGGTAGAGAGGGTTCTTTTGTGAGGGATGATAAAAGAATTATGGCTCTTCATTCTGGAAAGACACAGTCTGAGAGGAGAATATGATTGAAATTTATAAAATAATGAAAATCATAGAATAAAAATATGAATCTATTAAATCCCAGAGGTAGGGACAACTTTATCATTTTAAAGAAATAGTTTCAGGGCAAGGTAAAAATAGCAGGTTTTTACATAGGAATAGCACACATATGGAACTTACTACTCTCAAAGATTGCTAGGACCAAAATCAAATATTATAAGAGAAATATGTGTGTTTCTGGAGGATAGTTTCATAGGAGATTATAAAATGAAATTAAAACAATTTGGGGGGGCGCCAGGGTAGCTCAGTTGGTTAAGCGTCTGCCTTCAACTCAGGTCATGATCCCAGAGTCCTGGGATCAAGCCCCGCCTAAGACTCCCTGCTCAGCGGGGAGTCTGCTTCTCCCTCTCCCTCTGCCCCTCCGCCAACCCCCTCTTGTGTGCTTTCTCAAATAAAAAAATAAAATCTTAAAAAAAAACCAATTTGGGTAAATCTCCCTGATCTTGGAGGATGGCACCATAGAGAGTGGCCATGAAGCTTCCCTCTTCCCAACTGGTGTCCTTGGCCAGTTCAAGGTTCCTGAGTGGATATGCCGGAGAGGACAGAGCACAGAATTAGAGCTCAGTGGGCCTGGCTGCAAGTATTACCTCTCTGACCCTAGGGAGTCACTTCTTTTTTTTTTGTACCTCAGTTTCCTAATCTTCAAAAAGAAAAAAAAAGGTAATATCAACATTAAAACCTGCCTAATTTTGTGAAAAATTCAACTGAAGGGATGTCTGTGGAAGTGTTTTATAGTTGATAAACATACCCGTATGAGTGTGAGAATTTCCACTTTTATTGTTGCATTTCTAAATCTATTTCCTTCAGGTGGGTTGACCTTCACCCTGTGCTTCCTGATCCTGGCCTCATTAGGAAGCAGTGTTTCCCAACTCAGAAATGAAGGAGAGCACTGAGGGCAGGGACAATCCCTTGTCCTCAAGGGAGGTGGAGAGAATGCAGATCTTTCTTCTTTCACACCCTCTTTTCCTCCCTGTGAAGGTGGAGAAATAAATGTAAGGAGAACTTTAAGCATCTCTCTTTCCACTTTGGCTGTTTTGGGTGGTAAGATGCCACCTAAAGACTGGGGTGCTCCTGGCTGGCTCAGTCAGTAGGGCATGCGACTCTTGATCTTGGGATTATAAGTTTGAGCCCCATGTTGGGTGTAGAGATTGCTTAAAAAAATGAAAAAAAATGTTTTTAAAGATTTCACCTATTTATTTGACAGAAAGAGAGATGGAGAGAGAGAGACAGAGAGCACAAGCAGGGGGAGCAGCAGAGGGAGAAGGAGAAGCAGGCTCTCCGCTGAGCAGGGAGCCCAATGTGGAGCTCAATCCCAGGACCTTGATATCATGACCCGAGCTGAAGGCAGATGCTTAACCAACTGAGCCACCCAGGCATTGCCCGCCCCCCCAAAAAAGAAATCTTAAACAAAATTAAAACCAAACAAAAACCCTTGGGTGTTCCAGTTTTGGGGCGACTTTGAGGGTTCTTACAGATCTTAGGAAAACTAAAAATGGTGAGTACAGGGCTGGATGAGAAAAACCATGGGGACTGGTTTCTTAATGGCATCTATAGGTTTAGAATTTAAGGGAGAGAGAAAAATAATGACTCTGAAATTTCCTTTCAAGACGACCACTGCAGTTCACTATGCCGGAAAGCCGATGGAGATCTGGAGGGAGAGACTGTGTCTTGCCTGGAGGGTCCTCTGAATCTCCTGTGTACCCTAAGGAATCCGACTTTGGCAGAGGAGATCCAGGAACAGCAGGAAGAGAGAACTGATAACAAATAACTTCTTATTTCCACCATAGCAAATATGAACTGCTTTGCCTGGCTTCCAAGCACTCCACCCACCGTACCATCTCCCCTGACCTCATTTCCCATGGGGTAGAATGGAAGGAAAATGGCCCAGAAGCCAAGACAGCCCTCGATTTGAATGTTGGCCTCAGCACTCATTAGCTGTGTGAGTTCAGCTTCGAGTCCATAAAATGGTGGTAATAGTAACCCCCTTATCCTTGAGTTGCAGTGAGGTCAGATGAGGTTATATTTGTGAAGCACTTAGCATAGTGCCTGGCACATCATAGGCCCTAAATAAATGTCAGCCTTTGTCATGACCCATCAGTACCCTCTATTCTAAGGAGATGGACTGCTAGATAATGAGCTCCGTGAGTGCGGGGACCAAGATGTGCTTTGCTCACTATGTGTCTGTGGTGTACATACACAGAGCCTAAAGAAATGAATTTCTCTGCACCAAGCCCCTCTCATTCCTTTTCTGTGCAAGTTATATCCATTCAAGGCCCCGCTGAAGGCTCATTTCCTCCGGGAAAGCAGCTCATATTAATCTTGCTCGCTTAGGAACTCCCGTAGCACTCAATTCAGCCCTTAGAGAGACATGGATTTGCGTAGTTGTCTTTTTGCATCGTATATGTTAGTCTTAGCCTTCAACGACGTTCAGCATTTAGTGAACATTTGCTATGATCAGGGCCTTGGCTTACAGATGCAACCAGGGAGAAGTTCCTTCGTCTCAGGACCTTTATCTGAGGACAATTTCCCCCTACATGGGACCCAGTGTAGCAAAGTGCCCATCTTGCTGTTCTTACATGCTGCTTTGGACACGTGACACAGTGGGATGCTTTGCAGGAACTTCTCCCTTTGAGGTCCTGGGAGACATATGTTCTGGCACTTACTGCGTCTTCATTCCTGGTATCTTTCCTGATGGGAAAGCTGTGCAGGGGGTTTGTATTATGGCTCATTTGTCTCAAAAGACAGAAAGCAATACTCAATACTTTTTTTTCATAAGAGCATCATTCCCATGTCAAATGGTGTCATTCTCACATTACCCAGGGCAATTGCTTAAAAGATTCCTCTTCCTTTCCTTTTGTTCTGAAACATGCAAAACACCAGTGGTAGAAGCTGGACGAGGCCCACCTGACTCTCTTTCTCCATTACTTTCTGAGGAAAGAATCAAGGGCAATGTCTTTTTTGAAGGCAGGTCTGGGGAAGTGGTACCAGCACCTGCATGTCTCCTGCCTTTGGTTTCTGCTCCTGTCTCAGGCTTACTTTCTGATGTGGATTCCAGGCCACCTTTCTCGGTTCTGATGAAGCCGGGAACCACTGTGACCCACTGGGGACCCCTCCCTGCAGCTTGCAAGTCAAGGTCAATCACCTAGCTATTCCCATTGAACAATTCCCTTTTCACTTCAGCTTGTAAAATTTCTGATATATATATATGTATATATATATATACATACATATATATATATTTTCATTTTTATCCTCTCCTTTTCTTTAAAGGTTATTTTAAAGTTAAAAATAACCATAAGGAGACCTTGTGATCCTCTTCTCACTGACCCAGATATTTTAAGAGTTTAAGACAGCAGCTCCACATCTGGGGATACAGGCTGGCTCTCGGGAGCCAATTAGCTAAATGTGATAATAAAATATTAATCCTATTTCCCACACATAAAACACTCCTTGTTTTTCCCTTGCCGATCCAAACCCTACTCACCCTTCAATGCATTGTACAAAAAGCCATGGACTTGAGGATAAAAAACTTGGGCTTGGTCCCTAACTTGGAAACCTGCAAGCTGTCTGACCTTGGGCAAGTCACTTTATGTGTGTGGACATTGGTTTCTTCCCCTGGAAAACCAGGATGCTAATTATCTCACAGAGTTAAGGTTGAAGGCTTTGGGTCCAGCCTAGTGCCTGGGGTCCCCAAAACAGATTCTAAGGAAATACTTATCAAACTCCAGGAAGCCCGATTTGAGTAATCCTGGGATCATTAATCTCTCCTATTTGGGGATTTCTGTATTACTGAGTCTGTCTACACCATGAATTTAACAGTTAACTAGATCTTTTTTTTTTTTTTAACATTTTATTTATTTATTTGAGAGGGAGAGAATGAGAGAGAGAGAAAGCACATGGGGGGGAGGGTCAGAGGGAGAAGCAGACTCCCTGCCGAGCAGGGAGCCCGATGCGGGACTCGATCCTGGGACTCCAGGATCATGACCTGAGCCGAAGGCAATTGCTTAACCATCTGAGCCACCCAGGCACCCAACAGTTAACTAGATCTTGTCTTTCATCTGTGGCTCTAGTGTTTTCACATCCTCAACTGCTGGATAGGTTCCTTTGCAGGATGGTGCCATGTGTTTTATTTTTCTCGTGTCAGTGTTGCAGTAATAGGCACTTAATCCTTGATAATTGATTAAGTACATCACCCATCTTACTAAATTTGGGTTCTGTAGCACAAGAGAGGTTATTTTCATTGTCTTTATCTCTAATTTCACCGCCTGATCCTAGTGGTGGGATCGTAGGAAATCTTTTTTTTTTTTTTTAAAGATTTTATTTATTTATTCATGAGAGACAGAGGGAGAGAGAGAGAGAGAGAGAGAGAGAGAGAAGCAGAGGGAGAAGCAGGCTCCCAAGGAGCAGGGAGCCCAATGCGGGACACGATCCCAGGACCCTGGGATCATGACCCGAGCCGAAGGCAGACGCTTAATGACTGAGCCACGCAGGTGCCTGAGATCATAAGAAATCTTTTAGGCTTTCATTATCTTGTCAATTTTAGCTTCTCAACAAATATGTGCTATTCATTTGTTCAGGATACTGCTGACCTGCCATGAACACAAAGTTTGTTTGAATTGCTTACCCACTATAAGGATGGGTTTTCCACTGAATCAGCTTTGTTTTCTCACTCAGGCAGGGTTGAGGTCCTGGTGAGACCTCCAGCTTTCGCTGCCCTGGAACTGAGGTCTCTAAAGCAGGCCTATAGTTGCCCTCTTCTGTGGTGACAGGCTCTCAGGGGAATTAGAGATTTATTTATTTATTTGAGAGAGAGAGAGAGAGCATGAGCAAGTGGAGGTAGGGACAGAGGGAGAGAGAATCCTGAAGCAGACTCCCTGCTGAGCACAGAGCCTGCCTTGGCTCCATCCCAGGACCCTGAGATCACTACCTGAGCCAAAATCAAGAATCGGCTGCTTAACCAACTGAGCCACCCCGGTGCCCTCTCCGTGGATTTAAGAGCAGCCCCAGGAGCCTGTATTCTTTGGGTAAGAACAGTGCCCTGGCTGTCACATCCCCTCCATGAATTGCCCCATGAATGGTTGTGGGTTCAGTTGTGTTCCCCCCCCAAAAAAGGTATGTTGAAATCCTAGCCCTCAGTACCCCATGACTGTGACTTTATTTGGAGATAGGGTCTTTGTAATTGTAATCAAGAGGAGGTCACACTGAATTCGGATGGCCCTTAACCCCATGACAGTTACCCTTATAGGTAGAGAGAGATTTGGACACAGGAAGATGGCCATGTGAAAACAGGCACAGAAAATGGAGTGATGCAGCCATGAGCCAAAGGATGCCAGGGATTGATGGGAGCCACCAGAACCTATGAAAAGGGAAGGAAGTATTCTCCCCTAAAGTCTTCAGAGGGAGCATGGCCCTGCTGATACCCTGATTTTAGACTTTAGCCTTCAGACCTATGAGGAAATAAATTCCTACTATTTTAAGCCACCAAGTTTGTGATAATTTGTTACAGCAGCCTTAGGAAACTAATATACCGCCCAAGAGTCTAAATATAATACAAAAGGGAGGTTTTAATTGAAGTCAGTTACCCATCTTCCGCTAAAAGGCCTTGCTACTAATCCCATCATGCCTTGTGATTACCTTTGTGATTCCCTCAATCCAGCGCTCCTGGGTCTCCTTCCCCACACAGCTCAGTACATATCCTTATTTGACTTTATCTCCCACCCCCTCCCACTAGGTCCTCAGCCTCTTCTCTGAATGTCCCTCTCACTGTTCTGCTCTGACTGATACCCAACTCACTCCTGAGGACATGGAGCTACCCCTCAAGAGTCCCAGGGCCTGATGGAGCGGCCGGTGTCTGCTTTGCTCCTCATGGTCACTCCTGGACCACTGCTCCTCGCTGCCCCTTCCCCACTGGCTCTGAAGGACAGGCCGTCCAATCTCCATAAACCTCCCATGCTGGGCCAGTCACCAACTCGAGGTCACTCCTCCAGTGCAACCTGGAGCCCTGCTGGCTCACGTCCATACTTTTTTTTTTTTTTTTTTTTAAAGATTTTTATTTATTTGACAGAGAGAGAGAGAGACAGCGAGAAAGGGAACACAAGCAGGGGGAGTGGGAGAGGGAGAAGCAGGCTTTCCGCCGAGCAAGGAGCCCGATGCGGGGCTCGATCCCAGGACCCTGGGATCATGACCTGAGCCGAAGGCAGACGCTCAACGACTGAGCCACCCAGGCGCCCTCACGTCCATACTCTTTACCACTCCTCTCCTCAGGCCCGCTGGTTGGCCTGCTTAGACCAATCAACTCCAGCCCTGGCTGCACTTCAGAATTATTTGGGAAACTTTTAAAAAACCTCGGGCACTGCCACCCCCTCCTCTGAACCAATTGAGCTGGAATTAGAGAATCGGAGGCCCGTGTATATTTTAGGAGCTCCCCAGGTCATTCTAGTATGTGGCCAGGTTTGCGACCCCTGGTATGGGTGATCAACAATGACTTCTCAGCCAAATAGTCTTACAGTAACGCTCTGTGTTGCTCATTAGTAGGACTTGTACTAGTACTAGTACTTGTGGATTTCTGGCACCCCTCTCCAGCTACTACCTTCTCACTTCCAGCTTGCTCCCTCTGGAACCCCACTCCAGCCATTGTTGGGTCTCACTCCGTCCACCAGGCCATCATCCCTAGACCTTGTCACCGTCCATCATGGCCCTCAGGCCTTGCCCTCAGACACTCACCTGAGTCCATGGAACAGGCTCAATGCCCTTGCCTCTCTCCCCTCTACTGCCTTTACCTGCCAAACCCCCAGATCTGGTAACACTCTACTCACCTACTCAGGTCTGCATCCAAGCACCAAATCTCCAAATGTGGCTGGATTAAAAATACGAAGCAGGCTTGCTGGTCTTAATTTTATGAACTCAGAGCTCGAGTGGATTCTCAGCGGTGCCTGGCAACACTGTCTTATTTCCCCCATTAATTTGCTTCCCTATTATTCAAGAGGCTCTTTTACACCTTCTCTCTCCAAACCAGCTCCCTCCAGAATCCAAACTTCTCACTCCTCCGCTAGGCCAACCTTGTTCCTGTCTCAAGATATTTGCACTTCGAGTTCACTCTACCTTCCACATTTTTCCCCGGATCTTGCCATAGAACACCCCTCATTGGTTTTATCTCACCTTCTCAGGGAAGTATTCCCTGATTCTTCTACCTAAAATAAGCCTCCCACCTCGATCCTGACACTCCATCCTCTGACTTGTTCTCATTTTCTTTATAGCACTTACCATCGTCTGATAGGATATGATGGGTTTATTTATTTATTTATTTTAAAGATTTTATTTATTTATTTTAATGATTTTATTTATTTGAGAGATAGAATGAGATAGAGAGAGAGCATGAGAGGGGGGAGATCAGAGGGAGAAGCAGACTCCCCGCCAAGCAGGGAGCCCGATGCGGGACTCGATCCCGGGACTCCAGGATCATGACCTGAGCCGAAGGCAGTCGCTCAACCAACTGAGCCACCCAGGCGCCCATGATGGGTTTATTTTTGTTTGCTTATCTGTCTCCCTCACAAGCATACAAGCTTTATAAAGGCAGTTCCCTTCTTCTTTTTTTAAGATTTTATTTTTAAGTAATCTTTATCATGGGGCTCAAACTCATGACCCTGAGATCAAGGGTCACATGCTCTACTGACTGAAGCAGCCAGGCGCCCCTGAAGGCAGTTCCCTTCTGATCTGCCTAGTTCATGTCTAGATCCCCAACACCACGTCCAGTGCCTGGCACACTGTAAGCTCTTAGTGAGTGAAGGAGTGAATGAACAAACAAAGGAATGGGTCTATGTTGTGTATTTTTGAACTGCTGACTTGGGAGGCTGTGAAAACTGTGATTAATACATGTGCTGGATCCAAAGTCTGGTTCGACCAGGGCTAACTGTGGGACGTGGAGTGCATTACTCAGTCTCTCTGAGCTCCCATTTTCTGATTTGTAAGGAGGGGAGGATCTTCTTCGTTGGTGAATATGTGGAGATGCAGGGGGAATGGCATGCGGAGAGAGCGCATGGAATAATAATAATAGTAATAACTAATATTATTAGGCTGCAGTTATAAACCATAGACTGTAGCACTTTTCTAAGTGCTTTACCTGTAATGACTCAGTTGCAGTTGGCTCTTGAACAACCTGGGTTTGAACTGCATGAGTTCACTTATACATGGATTTTTTGGATAAATACAGTACAGGGCTGTAAATGCATTTTCCTTATGATTTTTTGCCTTATGATTCTTTTTTTTTTTAATTTTTTTTTATAGATTTTATTTATTTATTTGAGAGAGAGA